CACTTTTTGTTATTTTTGTCTATTTTGTTCAGTTGAATGATGATAAAAATAGAAGAATCATCAATTTTGGATAAGATGAAATCCACTTCAATAAGTGTAGAATAAATTGACGAGATTGAAATTGAATGCATGAATGAATGAAGAAGGCAAGAAGTAAATTTGCATAAAGCAATAGGCGAAAATGGAAAGGTTTTACAACTATTTAGGAAACATATCAAAAGATATTACTGAAAAAAGCAAATAGTTGAGAAAACAATGAATGGTTAGATTTTTTATGAAAGAAGTATATATTTAAGACTTAAAATAAGACTAAGTAGGATTATTTTGCTAATGCAAAAAATAAATGGCTGATTTAAAGCAAAAAAATAATAGTTATTAACGCTTTTTTTTGGAAATGTTTGCAAATAATTACTTGAAAATTAAAAAAATGCATTTTTTACCTAATAAAGATTAGTTATCATTTTACATTATTAATAAATTCCAGTTTTGTGTTCGAAACTATCAAAAATTAAGCTCAGTTTTCTGTTTCGTTTACGTTATAAATTTGATATGATTATTTTTGCATTGTATTTGTGTTGTTCTCATTATTATTTTTCATTCACAAAGTCAATTCTTGGCAGAAATACTAGAAACTTTTGAGAAATAAGAGCAACAACGTTAGTTTTTCTTGAATTGCGCAAAATAATTACTGTGTTCATCAATTAAGTTTACAACTAGTAGCGATGAGATGATTTTGAATTACAGTTTGAAGCTCGAGATGAAGCTGGTGATGGCGACAATGATGTTGAATATCGGTTAATTAATACTGAACGTAAGAATCTGTTTTTGGTTCTTATATAAACTAAGAAATAGTGTCTATGAGTTAATATCAGAAAAGAAAATTGTGGTAATGCAGTGAAATCATAAGCATTAGATATCATAATAGTTGTGATGGCAAATTTAAAAATGAAAGTACCTTATTTTGTCAAGCAAGTAGAAAAATTCTTCTCTTCAGTAATTCAATAAGAAGCCATGAAAATCTTATAATTAAATGCTGAGACAACTCTTAGAATTTAAATACAACCTTCTTCTTAAATACATTTCTGAATGTGAAATATTAATAAAGAAAGTTTACATTAAATTTTAAACTTTCGTTTTCTTATATTAAAAAGGATTTATTGTTTTTAAATTTGATGTAAGATGAATTTATGAGTATTACGGTTTAATTTTGAAGCAAGCGAAGCATTTACGGTAGATGCGACTAGTGGAGTGGTGCAAACAGCTTTAAAGCATTATAAACGCGGAGAGACGTACCGGATCTTCGTGCAAGCTCGAGACCGAACACCAACTGACCCCGAGGTTTCTCAGGTATTAAGTTGAGAGTGATTTCAGACTTTTATCAAAGTAAATTTTGTACAATTATTAGTTTATAGTAATTTAACATCTATGATTATGCAAATTTTTCAACTTTTAGCATTTTTATGAGTGATTTTGAAGAATTGTTTTTGCTACATTATTTTATTAATAAATGCATATTTTATCGAATTGTTTAAAATTTGCTCTTTCCATCCACTTGCCTTAATTTTTTAAAAAAAAAAAAAGACATGCTATTTAAAATAATTTAGGATAGCGAAGTTGCTGTATTAGAAGTATACGCTGGTGATCGAGCTCCACAGTTTGTTGAACAGCACTATACAGCTTATGTACCAGAAGATTTAGAAGTTGATTCTAGGTGCAGTCTTATCCTTTCTTAATTAATTTAAAAGTAATATTGTCTTCAAGGCATTCCATGTTAGGTAAAAAAACGTTATTGAATATTGACATGCATGAAAATTTGCATATTATGTGCAAACGTTAAAAAGGTTTTGAAAAGTAATATTCAAGAAATAATTATTTAGCATCATGGATGTAAAGGCCAAACGTTTCAAATCGGTTAATAAACATCATAATAAAGGAGAGATAACCTATCACTTGTATTTAAATACGAATTCCGTGGAACGTGAACTATCTCCATACTTTTCAATTGATGCCAAATATGGCTTAGTGCGGTTGAAAAAGTCACTTGATTACGATGATGAGACACAGCTAAAACATCATCAACTTATAGGTCTTTCTTGGCTATTTTTTATTTTATTTTTAAATTTAAACAATGGATATTAAACAGATTAAATTATGTAGATCAAAAAATAATAAGTCTCCTGTATATTACTTTTACTACATATGCCATTTTTAATAACTTTAATTATTTTCGTGATTTCTTCAT